AGGAAGGATGCGGTGGATACGATGACGAGGTGGGCGAGGAGGATTGGGGGGCTGGGGAGTATTATTGGGGCGATTTGAGGGGATGGGTGGGAGGGGTTTGTATGCGCCAGCGAAGGCGAGATTGATGCGACGCGCATTTGAAGTGCGAGAGCGGTGCGCGAGTGGTGGGGCGCGATGATGCGGGATTCTTTTGCCCGCCGACTTTGGTCGTTCTCTTGGGCCAGTGGTCGATGCATGTTCGCCTCCAGCTGTTTCTTCAGCAGCGACTCAAGACTTGGTCGCTCTTCCTGTACGATGGATGGACTCGATGTCATGATTTCGACGGACGCGCGCAACGGAGATTGCTCGCTGTCGAATGCTTGGACCGGATCAACGCCAATGTCTTCTAGACGGGGGAGGCTGCTCGGACGCGAACACCTTGCCGGCGATTCTTCTGGGCCTTCTACTGGTGCACTCTCTGGACTTGGAGGTCTGAGTGGCTGCCAGTCGCTTCCAGATGGCGATGTGATTGTTGGCAGGGCGCCCCCGGTAGCATTATGGTCGCTACCGATTTCAGGCAACCGCTCACATTCAATCTCGTTCAACTGAACCGATATCCAACCATTTACTTTTCGCATAACCGCAGTCGTCACAGCGGCCTGTCCTATGCCCTTGGACTATTCGCATCGCGCCCTTACTGCGTTGCGTAACAAATTTTTTACCCTCTCGACTTGACCTCTTGAGATGATTGAAAAATCAGATAGCGCCGTCACGAGCGTTGGGGCCATGATGTTACCAAGCCAAGGCCGCAGTTGGACAGGAAACGAATAGCGAATCTTCGCAATGGAGCAATACTCCAGGATCTTCGACGCGATAGTCTGGCTTCTAGATCCGGTCATCGCGGCGGTAGGGAAGCGTGGGAAGAGCAAAGCGGGGGTTCTTGGAGATGCGATACTTCTCCCTTTTGTAGAGTATCACCTCGTGTATGAGTCGTATGAGATGCGGGTGGTGTGGTTGGCTCGTCGTGGTAGGGAAGTGTAAGGAAATTGGAATGGCGCTACTTGCCATAGGTCCATAGCGTCAGTACCATCCACTATTGCTGCAGAACCAAAGTACGGAGGATTTTGATCCAGAGTATCTCATGTTTGCCGGCGTTTACATGTAGGTGCGCGATGCTATATGAGATGTCTACGCCATGCAGGCGCATTCCGGTGGCCATACAATGCAGGGTCACAACTCTTCGCTACAGTCCTCCACATTCCATCTCAAATCACGATGCCGCATCCCCATACCGGACACCTAACCCTCCCAGGAGCAGGCACCGCCACGCTTCGGAACATCAACAAAACCTGGAAGCTCTGGGACGCAAGTCACGCTATACCCTACGACCTACATCCCCATGGCGAGCACCGTGCGAACAAATGGTCTCGACTCTTCCAAATCCGACTGGAGCGTCTTGTACTCCTCACGAATGCACGGATGAAGGATTACATCCTAGAGCAAATCCGCGACGTTGTATACTTTAGACACCAAGGAAGGCGGAATCGGCTGTTGTGTGTGACTGTTTGCGATCTGGATAGGCTGTACAGGAGGATTAGACGCGAGCAGATAAGGGAGAACAGTGCGGCGGAGAGAGCAGAAAGAATGGCTTATCGACAACACATGGAACAGGTCAGGCGATTGGAGCTTGTGGTCCAAGATCTACGTCGAATGGACATGGCTCGTCAGCAACGATTTCAATTACCGGCTCGCACATTCATCGACGACATCCCTTAGCATTGGGTTCAAGTATCAGGGCGACATGAAAGAACGACAGGATATCGACAACAGCCTCTCATATCAAGCGTCAGCATCACCATGCCTTCAATCCCCGCTACCTCCTTTGTCACCCCATTGTCGTCTTTGTCCACCACCTTACAATGCCATCTTCTTTCACCACCACTACATCCGCAAATACTACCTCCAACTCCGCAAACCGTCGTTACGCCCACCAAACACCATCGCTAGCCTATGGCCTCCCCTTCATCTACATGCTCCTCAAAACAACCAACTTTTACCCTCTGGCAAAGATCGAAGAAAGAACCGCTGGAGAAATCGCACGCGCAATGTCAGGCAATCCTCCATACCCTACCGGCTACCCGTTTCTTCCTCCTTCGAAAGGCAATCAGAGTGCGACTGAGCGTTTGGCAGACGTTAGGAAGTTGTTAGCGAAGCAAAATGAGGGGGGAAACAGCGGAAGTGGCACGAAAAAGATGAAGTCGAGGGGTCTTCCTCCCACTCCGCCAAAACACGCTCCAGGTGCTTGGGGAGGTCTGGAAGAGGCAAGGAAACTTATTGCTTCGCAAATGGAAGGGCAGAGGGGGATGAATGGCAGCGAGACGCGGCCGCGGAACGTAAGATGTCCGTCGTCATCGATGTCGTCGGTTTCTAGCGATAGTCTACTCGGGTCATTACCGGGGAGCTCACGACCGCAAGGCCCGCATCCTCCGAGCTTGCCGTCGCCGCTCCCGAGACATCATCCACGAAGTCATTATACGAGACGGCCTTCTCCGGATGAATCATCACCCAGTCCTTCTCCCACACGCGCGTCACGACCACCTTTGCGACCTACCCATGATGAAAGCCATCACGAACGGAACGCACACCGACCATCGCAGCGACGAGACCGGAGTTGCACTCCAATGGATGAGGTCTTTGTACAAGACATCACGTGGCCGCCATTTCCTAAATGGCCGAAGGATGTATCGAAGGATGAGGAGATGAAGTTTATCGAGGGCGAGATAGAACTTTATAGGATTAGAGAGGCGTATGAGAGATCTGTTGGACGGAAACTTGTGGCTAGTTATAGGAAGAGGGTGCTTGAGTATGAGAGGGATGTTTTGGCTTGTAAGCTTAGTGGTACAGGGAAGAGAAGGAAAATGGGGCGGTAGAGGGGCAGAAGTGTGCAATGATAGTCCAATGTGAACGCAAGCTCTCTGAAAGCCTAGTGGTAGCATGCTACATGGATTGAGGCGCTTTCTCTCTTGCTAGCGAAGCATGATTGTGTTCAAGTAACCTTTGTTTGGGGGGCTCTATCAAATGGTGCTGTGTCTTTGTCCTAGCACAAAAGCGCGACTTTCTTTCATGTCGCACTATTTCGCAAAAGCTTTGGCAACGCTGAGACCGTATCAACCACCAAAGAGCCGCCACAGGACTACGTAGCGATCAATCCAATTCCTACGCACGACCAATCCGTCCCAGCGCCGCCAAAATGTCTGAACTCCAAAGTGTATACGCGCCCAACAGTCTTTTCGCCCCAATGGACGATCTGCAGACATACATACTCAATACCTGGGATCTGAGGCACCCGCACGACTTCTTCACACCACCACTCCCTTATCTGGAAGAGTACAGGTTCTCAGACCCGTGGCTCATGTTCGCCTTATTCTCGCTTGCCAAAACAACCTCACTCGATACGGCACGTAAGGCATTGCGTGAAGTACTTACACGCGATGAGCATGAAGGTGAAGTCACGGCTAGGGATGTCCAGGAGGCGCGAGATTATGTTATCAAAAACATGGAGCCGGAGGATTTGCAAAGATACAACAATGTCACTGTACCGGGACTGAGACGAGATGAAGTGAGGTGGAATAGATACAAACATGAGTATGAGGAGGATTACCATGACTTATTGCGAAGGTATGGCAGGCGTGGGACTGAATGGGGTACGAGGTCTATGTCACGACGTGGCAGTCGAGATGACAGACGACGCAGCCGTCTAAGGAGTCCAGCGGGTAGATCACCAAGTCATTACCGGCCGCGAAGTAGGAGCCGACCTCGACCACGCGATCGTGAGAGACGTGCACCAAGCGTCAATAGGCGATCCAGCACACCACCGCACCCTTCGCTGCAGCGAAGTCGTCCGGTTGAGCAGCCAGCCTATCGCGGCACAACCACTGATCACTTCAATGAACACGCCGTCGAGACGCCCAACTTCGGAGCCGAGCCGCCAGGTGCCACTTTTAACGAGCAGCTTGAACTACGGGATGAGGCAGTGCAATTGCTGGGTGCGCAGGAGGAATATTACGAGGCTGTGAGGCGGAAGATGCTATCTCGCTATATGGCGAGGGTACAAATGTATGAGAAAAAGGTGATCGAGACGAGGAAGCGTGTCGCTGGCGAAGAAAGAACTAGGTACAACAGAGACGATGAAGGAAGAGGTAGGGAAACTAGGCGTCATGAGAGGGAGACAAACTATGGCCGGCGAAGATAAGATGATCGCTGAAGTTCATCTAATGTCTCGTTTCTCTCAGGATCAAGTACGATGAAGTGACCTTCGTTTGTTGGCTGGCAGATATGATTACCCTTCTCGTAGCCTATGTTGGATCGTTAACAATGGAAAGCACTACCTTCCAGTCTACTTTCATTCGAAGTATAACGAAACCGTGCACAATTACCTGCACTAGCTTTAAACTAGCCCTGGAGGTGTTGGGCAGGCCTACGCTTTCCACTCGCAGTCACCGACCACGTTCAACCTCTACACGCCTTTGGCCAAACATCACGATATGAACGCCTATAGCTCGGAACTCGCCGTTGAACGCGCTCGTCGTCGCGCTGCATGTGCACCTCCGACAATCTTTGTTGACGAGATCTCTCAACAAGAAGGCGCTCTGGGGGCCAGTCGTCGACGCCTGTCTGAGATCAGCGATACCTCGAAAATCTTACACTCTCCGATGAATCTACCTTTTCGTCCGGCGCTGAAGCGTCCTGCCGACACACCTGATGCTCGCTAGGACCACAAGACTAAGCGTGCTCGCGAAAGCCACGACTCAGACCAATCAAAACCAGAAGATACCCCAGTGCATGAGGTCCTCTTGCTCAAAACCCCAAAGTTCTTCGCGAAGGCTTACATAGCCGGACTCGAGAGTCGGCGTAAGGAGCCACGTTATCTAGATCAGGATCAAGATAGCTCCCAAATGAGCGCGCGTAACCGCCGAGATATGTCCCGATCCCTACTGCGCCCTCAAACTCACCGTCCTCGTATGACCGCACGTAAAGCCAACAGCCCCAATGCACAGCCCGTTCCGCAAGCGATCTCTACGCCTAAGCTGAAGACCGAAGACTTCGGAGACCGCATCGATTTCCTGAACTTCGGATACGATGATTTCGAGCCCAAAACGCCAGAGGAGAGGTTGATGAAATACCGAGCCGATGTTGAGTTGTCCAAAGTGCATGCGAAGCGCTACAAGCTTATGGCAGATCGCAAAACGAAAGACTTCTATATGGACAAGGTACCGCATCGGAAGGACGAAACTGGAGACAGCCTCGACTTCCTGAACAGATACGCCGATATAAAGCCCATGACACCGGAGGAAAGGTTGATGAAGCTTAAGGCCGATGTCGAATTCTCGAAGACACATCAAGATCGGTACAGGTTCAAGACTGCTGAGCTGTTGTTCGAGGGTAGAGCGATATTTGCGCAGCTCATGGTGGATGTTCAGGAGTCTCGATTGAAGATCAGTAGGCAAGCTGCTGCTGCTGCAAATTCAAAAGCTACCTGGTCATCTTCGGAGGATCATAACCATGGCGCAGAAGGTTTTTGAGGTTAGCAAACGTCTTGCGGAGGTGGAGGCGAAGGAATTGAGGCCAGAAAATGCCAGAATAGGTAGCAGGAGGACTGTCGGAGGAACCGGAGCGAGAAGAAGATTTGTAAGCCGCGGCGGTTAACATAGCTAATTGGTGTTACTTGATGAGTCTGGATAGCTGCGAGAAATACACATATGAAGGTGTTGTAGCGCTAGTGTTGTATAGTGCTATCGCATCACTGTGGAGATGGTGAGGAGTGTGCTACAATTTGCTAGTTCTTGTTAGCCATCACGACCCATCAGACGTGTCACCAAATCTCTCGACCGAGTCGGTCTCGTTTGAACTCAGCATCCCTGTAGCGTGGGCACCAGGATGGCACTCGCCTTTGTCCAAGAGCCTTTGAGTGCATTACTTCCTTTGTTTGCTTGATTGCTTCTCTTTCGGCTGTCTACACTTACACTGACGACGATCGCGAACTAACAGTAGACATTACCGATAAGCTATGCGCTGCTCTTCTCGACCCACGCAACGCCTCATAATCTTGATCTTCGTACTCCATCGTCATGGCATCTAGGCGGGCTGACCGACTACATGAGATCCCTTCTCACTGCGAACGAATATGCAGGAATCGGAAGCTACCCGAAACTCAGGGCCAAGAAGCGGATAGACCGCAAGATCGACCGGACTCCTCCCAGGACCAAAGTGAACGACGCGCAAATACCGATGGAAGAAGATCTAAACACACTGAGCAAAGAGATGAATGTCTGAACAGCGATGAAGGGTGTTTCCAATCAGCCGAAAATCAGACAAAAGAAGCGCGTCCACTCCATGAACAATTCGCAGGCATCGACGGAGATGACGGTTTGCTGGAAGAACCCCCTGATGACCCCAAGGGTGCGTCCTTGGACGACCTGCGAACTCTACATCTTGAGAAAGATCAGCTATGCCAAGCGCAGGAAGACTACTACCATGCTTTGAGACTGCAGATACTAGCAAGATACCGAAGAATGCATATGAGCTATCTGAGTGCTGTGCGAGTCATAGAGAGCAGGATCGATAGTGATCGGAATGGCGAAGTAATCATGTCAAAAGGCAAGGGAACTGCAGGCAGAAAGAGAAAGAGAGGCACCGATGCTGGAAAGGACAGGCGGCCTCGGGATTAAACGTAACATCGTGATCCAGACGCAGGAGTGAATGAGATCTCTGAACCACACCAGTCCGATATCGAAGACCCGATCAGCTTCTACAACTTTGGTCATGCACCCGAAGACGAGCATCTGACCAGAGAAGAAGAGGTTCAGTTGCTACCTTTCGACATCGATATGGCGGAGACGCCGACAACGCGCTTATAGCGAATGGCGGAGCCTTCTATGCGGCTCGTAGACCGAAGTTGTGGAAGATGAGACGGGACGCTGCAGCCTTGAATACTCCGGCCAAAGCTGGACACTAAGAGATACACTGATGACGGAAGGGCGACACTCGGCCTATATTCCAGACTGGTTCCAGGGTGAGCGTCGCATAGTCTTCTCGTACTTCTAGGGCAATTTGGTCTAGTCACTAGCTCCTCAAACAAAGGTCATTGTCAATTGGTTCTCGTCCTCTTTCACTTTGTACGTGCGCAAGCTTTGTTTGACCAGCCCCACCTTTTTGACCTGAAGCTGTTGTCGCTATCTTGCGCGCACAATTCATAACACTCGCCGCAGAGATATTCTATGACCCACGGCTGATCTAGATACTCCCGCATCTTTCGCGGTCGCTCTTCTACGCAACAGCTACGACAATCGAATTGCCGACTCCAGCGCCGCCAACGCGTATTCAGATCCAGGTATGTCGATCTGCCTTGACACCTCGCAATTGCATGACCACTAACATGGCGCTGCTAGTACTGTTGATCTACATCGAGCGCGCCGCCTCTGAGATCGCTCGACATCTCGACAGCACCATGGCGACTTCATACGAAGAGGATACCCCGGTCTTAGCGGAAATACTAATGGAGATCGCGCGGAATTGGTCTGTCGAAGAGGCACATCAAGTGTTTCCGTATCACTTGCAGCCACTGGACTGGGATGATACTTTTTCCTGGGACGAAGCAATCGCCAGCGCCTTGCTGGAGGTGTCGCGATACAGAAAAGACTATGTCGCAGTGTTCGAAGATATTACCGAGAATGCACGATGGCGTGTAGGCAATTCATTCGAGGAACCGCAGCATTTCCTGCTCGAAGACGTACTGTTGCTGGTTAAGAATGCCCATGAACAAGAAGCTGCCGGCCACATTTACCGCCGTGCCGATGCGATGCAAGGCTTATACAAGGAGGATACGCTAGAGCACCTCGAAACAACCTGGAGAATTGAGGCTATCGACATCTTTCCAGAAGATATCAGGCCACGGGGCGGAGAGAGCGTAGATGACTGGTTTCATGAGTTCATTCCAATCTTGAGCGCCATGTCCAAGGTTGCTTTAGACATCGGGGAGGTACAACGAGAAATAAGAGTTGCGATCGAGAACAGAAAGAGGCACCCGAAAGGTATTGGCAGACCTAAGAAGCAAGACCAGGTCGATAATATCGGCATTGTTCGCCTGGACGATGTAAAGGACGCACATATCGCCCTGATAGAAGCTCATAGGATGTACAACATCAGACCGGACGTTTCCCCGAACGAACGTGGTCGAGCTGAAGAATCTGGCAGAGAGCTGGGCGGAGAAAAGGCCCCAGAGTATATTCCAGAGATGCCGCGAGCAATGGCTACGGGACGTCATCTCTCGAACAATGACGACGAGCCGGTCAATGGCTCTCCGGTGCCATCTCAGCAATCGTTAGACATCGACGATTATCATCAGCAAACTCCTACACCGCAACAGAGAGAACCCATCGGCAGATTACCCGCTCCAGGACTGTATGCAGGTAGCATGAACTTCAGGTTCGACGGGCTACCGGGGCCACCTTGGCGTCCCCTGATGCCGCGGGATAGGGCACAAGATGCTTTACCCCACGAACCAGCAAGGCAAGCAGAAGTCGATGAAAGGCCGCCAGCACAAGTTAGTCCAGCTGCGTCACAAGAGCGTAGACCTCGTACCCCGGTCGAGCGCCCGACCCGTCAACATGAGCCGTCCCGCTCGCCTCATCCGAGCGATGGCCAGACAGGGTCTCGCAGGTCTCGCAGCGGCACGCCGCCATGGGAGCGCCGTCGACGGGAGCGGCGTCTCCGTCGGAGGAGAGAAGCATCTGAAGAATCCTCAGACGACAACCACAGACGGCGCCGCGCTAAGCGAAAGCGAGATGTTGAAGAGATCGGAGAGCGGTTTGACTTCCTCAACTTTGGCTACGAATTCGCGCCTCAAACGCCAGAAGAACAGCTTATGAAGTACGAGATGGAGGCTGAAAACGCCCAAATTCATGCGAAGCGGTTCAAGATTAGAGAAGAACGTCATGTCGACAGGGACAACAGGCTCTTGGCAGAGGGTAGAGCGAGGACTGCGCAGCGCATGGCGGATCTTCAGAAGTCTCGGAACAGGGCAGCCCAGTAAGCCTGAAGGTGCCTCTTCACACTTGCCTGGGATACAAGGTTGCGGGAAAGCGACTTACTCAAACGACCATCTCTTTCTCGGGATGCATAGGGTATAGTGACATATTGTAAGCAGTGAAATTTTTGTCTTCGTAAGGATTGCGCGAGCAATCCGCTAAATCTACGTCTGTCTTTAATCCGATAGTCAAAGCTTCATAGTACCCCAATACATGGTCAAGAGCAAAGCTTTCTCCTGAAGAAATCAGCCTGTCGCTTGACGCATTCCTCGAAGTTGGGTTGCGTGGCGTATGCTTCGTAATGACCACCGCGGAACAAATGCAGCTCCTTTGGCTCAAGTGCACGACTGTATGCTTCCAATGTAGTCGCAGTGGGCGTCACAACATCGTTATCTGCAACAGTCATGAGCAATGGTGTCGGAGAAATGTGGTGAATCCAGGCCGCTCCAGGATGCGCTCTAAGATTCTCCATGCTGACCACGAGTTAGTTGAATGAATCTTCGCTGGCATTGCCAGGTTAATTTGTGCGTAACAAACCTCCTCAAGGTTACTTGGTTTTTGAAGTGAGGAACGACGCCCTCAAGCCCTCCCATGGACGCGTTACTATCTTTTGTAGTCATGGCCGATCGGTTTAATCGATTTGGATCGACAACAGGAATCATCATAGGTGGTTTGCCAGCAGCACGAGCAATTCGATCTAGAATAATCAAATTAGTCAGAACTCGATAGCTGTGATAGAGGATTGGGTCGACACGGACCTTTCTGGAAATCTGCTTCCCAATCTGCGATGTCATCTGACCGGATCAAATTGGCAAAAGCAGAGTATCCCTCCACCAACGGCGCCTGCGAAACGACGGCCTTCACTCTTCGGTCCACTGCAGCAACCCAAAGCACATTACCACCGCTGAACGACGAGCCCCAAATCCCGATCTTGGTAGGATCCACCTCAGGTCGGGTCTGAGCGTAAGTAATGGCGTCGGAAATATCACTGATTTGTATCGGTGCGTCAACTTCCAGTCTAGGTCTGCCTACTCCAGCATCGCTCTCTCCAAATCCACGATTGTCGAAAACCAACGCGGTAATGGGAAGGTTCGCCACAAGATATTCAGCGACCGCTGTCAGGCCCTGATCTTTCGTGGCCGAGAAGCCATGCGAAATGACTACGCATGGCAACTTTTGCCCGGAGTAGTTTTTCGGGGTATAGAACAAGCCACGCAGGGTGGTTTGGTCCAGCGTTTGGAAAGAAGCTGGTTGGGTGGACATGATCGCAAAAATATGCTCCGGATTCAGAGAAAAAACGTTTGTGGAAGAGGGTAATGAGTTTGAGGTGGTTGAGGCGGTTGAAGAGGCGAATCGAGCCATTAGGATGCTTTATATTATAGAATACCCTCAAGCTATCGTGGTTACTCATACATGTAGGCTACTTTGTAATCCATACTTTGGTGCAACCTCAGGTAAATCCTATCACAATGCTTCACAGATTCCGCCCTTACGATCCTCCGGAAGTCTGCGTCAAAGCTTACGAAACTAGCTTCGGAGCACGTGCGGGCAATCTCATACGGCCGTAACTTTACAAAGGCCGTAACTTTACAAAATTAGGAACATTACTGCTCCGGTCTCTTCCCGATGGGCAAGATCGACTCCTGTTTGGTTCAGTCCGATGATCACACAAACCGTGAAACGCTTTTAGTTCAACAGCCTTTCTTGATCTCCAGGCTGGCTGCGGGGTCCACTTTTTAGTGGGATCTTCCCTTTGCCCGAATTTCTTCTGGATCACGATCTTAGATTGAACTTGCAGATGCGGGGACAAGATTCAAGACTGCTTGTCAAATGATATGGGGGAATGGAGATTGTTTATATTGTGGCGTCCATCGCATCAGCTATTGATTTCCAAGCATCCATTTCGACTTACTGAACTCGCAACCTCGGTTTTTACCATTTTACCATATCAACTTACTACAAACTCTACAATGCCTCTCTGGCTCGTCTTCTACCCCGAAGGCCATTTCCAGGATACGGCCGCGAGGAAGGCTCTCACTCAAGACATCACCAAGATCTATACGGACATAGGCCTTCCTCCTTTTTACGTTGTCGTCAACTTCATCCAAATGGGTCCGCAGGATATGTGGATAGGCGGGGAGCTGAAAACGGACAAGCCGTTCATTCGATTCGTCATCGAGCACATTGCCGTCAACCTGCCAGACGACGACATGGCGATGGACAAAACAGCCAGGCGAATTGACCAGG